CAAGGTTTATGCATTTTTTTCTTTGCAAGCTTCAGAATATTGCCCAGATGGAAGCCCAGCCAAGCCCAACCCACCCCAGCTGTTTTTAACAGCCTAGATTCCTTGTACTGTAAATACTTTTATCTATTTTTCATCAGATTTTTAGACTTACTGACAAACTGTCTGGTCACAGGTCAGTGTTAGCTTCTATTCGCTTTGAGTTGCTTCTTTTAAGCAAAGTGTGATCACATTTCATGTACTTTTTTTTTAATCAAACATTGATTTACTTCTGCTTTGGAGAGCAGCTCCAAGTTTTCTATGCAAATATTTAACTCTACACCAGAACTAGAAGGATTATTTCACAAGGCTGAGCTGGTAAAGAGAGTAAGAAAAAGAAACCATTGCAGAATATATTGTCATCTTCATTCTGAGACTGGCGCGATAATGGGAGCCAACACAGAGCCAAAGGATTTAGAGAGGGGGAAAAAAAAAAAGTGATTGTGTAATCTTGGATCAAGGATGTGCCCTAAAATATACTGGACAGTACAAATGCAAGTGTACTGATTCTTGATAAAACCAACAAAGCAAGAGACCCAGAAAACATAATGGCTGGATTACAGAAGATGAAATGAAGAAGCCAAAATAGCAGTCATCTGGATCAGACTTCTGATGCTTTAGAGCTTGGGACTGCTGAGTATGGCACAGAAGTTACAGAGCTGGTGAAGGGAAAAGATGAGCAGAGGAGCTGAACAGCGGAGATGATACAGAGCAGCACTGTTAGAGATGTAAAGGTAAAAGAGATTTCTGAAGAGAGAAAAAACTGCTTTTTTTAGCCTGAATTTTAATGGAAGCAATAGAAACGGTAATCAAACATCTCACTGAGCCCTGAAACTAATTTCTCCTTGCGGTGATCCTTTTCTTCCCACTCTGTGTTAGCAAGAGAAGCCAGTGGGTTCTTCCTGAGAGAGCCTGGCAGGTCATTGGGACATATTTTGTAGGCCCAGGGGTTATTCTCTTGCAAGCTGCTGTGAGCAGCCTTACAGCAAGCGCTGGAATAAGACTTTCCAGCAAGTCAGTGGTCCTGGAAGTCACTTGCTCATTCTTCTGCCTTTAGATGAAATCTCTAGTGTTGGCTGCTCTTGTTTATTCTAGTCTCAAGTGTTATGAGGTTATAGGACAGGTTAATTGCTCAACAGAAGGGACGTGCAAAATTTTTACCTTTGAATTGTCTGTTTCTAGCCCTTCATGCTGAAGTACAAGCTTTTGCTGCCTAGCAATATCACTGTGTACAATTCTAACATCAAAAACCCTCCTACAGGCTCTGAGGGGAGAAAAAAACACGTCCAGGGCTCTCAATCTTGCTGCTGTAGCTGATTGTTTAGAAAGCCGAGAGAGTCATTTTCAAGCAGGAACTGAAACAGGATTGCCAAATTATTCCACAGGCAAATCCAAAGACCTGTTGTGTGCTAACACTGCAAGTAGGCTTGAACTTAGTGGCCTCAAGGAAGCTCAGTTTCTGGCTGCTTTAGAGCCCTTCTGATTCAGTAAGTTAACTTATTTTTGTCTATGAGAAGTTAACTAGCAAAAAATTACTTTTTTGTTTTTCTTTTCAGTAAGCTTTTAAGTGATAGTTTAAGCTGTTTTATTTGCATAGTGATGGAATAGGAGGATATGCCTCATCAGTTGCCACACTTCACCTCAAGCCAAGGCTGTTTGGTCTGTTTTGCAGCCCTCTGCTCTCAAGAGACTTTGGAAATACTCGGATAAAGAGCAGCAGGAAAGAAGGGAATTGGAGAGAGGCTGCACAAAAAGACAAGGATCAGGAGCTAGGGGAGTCGGGAAAGAGCCTTGAAGAAGGAGGAAGGAAACTCCGAGTTAGGAATTCAGGAGACGAGGAGGCAGGGAGAGCAGAGAGAGAGAGAGGATTTGATAGCCAAAGAGCAGTGACGAGAGAGGGAGATTGAGATGAACTATTTAATGATACTGGCACTGGAATAAGGACCTGAAGGGCAGAGGCTACAGCTGTCTGTATGAAGGCGTTCTGTGTGGGACAAAATGAGCCAGGGCAAAGAAGGAGCAGAACGTGACACTGTGGGCTCTCAGTCCTTGTATGATCAGTGTCTTAGTAGTAGCTGCTCCAAGATTCTGTATTTTACTTTTTCTCTGAAGGAATTATGAACAAAACATCTTCAAAAACTTGACATTTTACATTTTAAATCATTGTTTTAAAACATTACATGAATATGGTAAAGAGTGGAATGCATCCTCTTTTTTTTTTTTTTTTCCCGTTGCTTTTCAGGATAACTTGTTCATTTAGCCTAGAAAAATCTCTCTCCTGTCTGGCAACAGCAACAGCAACAACAAAGTATTAGAAGAGAGTGAGGGTTGGATACTTCTAGAAAATCAGCAGAGGGGTTAAAATTTTGCCATGCACAGGTATGAGCTTCAGCGCACAGAGTATTTTGCTAAATCAGTTAGATGTAAAGCAAAAGATACAAAATATAGATATCATTGTCTGTGCTTCTAAACTACACACGGATGTATCTGCTTATCCTTCTAGGTCATATTGCTTTTATGCCTTTCTAGTATGAGTAGTCAAAGAGGGTACCCAGAGAAAAGGCTGTTCGAGCAGCAAATGATGTAACTGCCTCTGAGAAGGAAGCGACGTGTTCTCTTTGGTTCTGCCACTGAAAAGGAGCAATTCTAAGGAGAGATTTGGCTCTCAAATCCATTTTTAAAAGTTCTTACCTGGGTAGGAACAGCCAGAGGCAAAGGAAGAAGGAAAATAGGTGTCAGGACAGTAACCAAGTAGTTCCTGTAGGCTAGAAGCACTTGCCACACGCCAGCCATGGTGCTGGAGCTAGCCCAGTGCTGAAAGGTCCCGAGGTCTGTTGAGGGACTATATAAATAGGCTGAAATATTAAACATTGACCTCTGGAGGTTGGGTGTTGTTTTTGGAACTGTAATCAGAGAAAGAAGGAAGAGAACAAAGAAGGGAGGGGACAGCAAAAGAGTGACAGTCCAGGAACTTTCTTAAGACAGTCTTTGCCTGGTAAATCCAGGAGAGAATTAACTCCTTGTTGTCCTTCCAGCTTTATTAAGCATAGATAGGCAACTGTAATGATCCTGCAATGTTCTGAATCAAAACCCGTGTTCAAGCTTTTATTACTAGGAACCTTACCTAATGAATAATAAAGTTCTGGCATTCAGTAGTTCTTTCCTTAAATAGATGCAGTTATTTTTCCGGTAGAAAGAGAAACTGTTCCCTCTATCATCAGTTCAAGTTTGTTTTAAGAGTGAATAGAAATTTTAGAAACATATCTCATGTATTGCACTCATATGTAAAGACGAGGGACATTTCCCCCCCCTCATCCTTGTAGTATCCACTGAGAAACTCTTTTGGCAGCAAAATGCACTAGGGCAGAGCTCACCAGGTGTCCCATTGTGGCCCTATTCCGAAAGGATTTACAGTGCCAAGCACCAGAACAGGGGCACCCATGTCCTTACATGGCAAAGACCATCGTTATAACAGGGCTGTTTTCTCCCCTATTTTGAAAGGAATAGGGGAAATGAGGGAGGAACTGATTTTTGACTAGCCCTAATAACATGATAGTTGTTTATGTTATAAGAAAGATTTAGGACCAAAGAAAGAAAGCAATAGCTCTTTCTACCTCATTCAGTTATATCTGGTTTGGCTGGGAAAGACTTGGCTAGACTGCAGCACCTTGTGATGTTTAATTTTTATTTGTTTCCACCTTTATGATCTTTCAGGTTTTTAAGCACAGCCTAGGTGTGTTTCAGGGTCTTAAAAATAAAAGAGGCAGTTGTTGAGAAATTACTAGTAATTGTTGTCCCTGTTCCAACAGCCATTCAAGATGCAGGCAGCAAATGACCTGAACCCACAAATGTGCAGGACAGGAATTGAAGTTTTGTTTTACTGAATTGCAGGACAGCCTTTCACTTGTGGTCTACAAACAAGTGAACCTTGAGCACCTGCTCCAGCTATAACTCTATTTCTCAGAACTTGCTGTTAGCAACCTGTAACTTTTCTTTTTCCAGAATTTTACTCAAAATTGCTGTTTACAATGTAAAAACAATCATTTCACTTTTACTCAGCTAATTTCATTTCTTAGCCAGGATGAGAGGTGCTGAAAATGTGAGTGCTGTGGATATGGGGAAGGGAGGTTTGAGAACAACAGAAGTTTTGGTTAGAATTGGCACTTTGCTAAAAGCCCTAAATCAGGGGATAATTTGAGGAATACAAATCTTAATACCAAATAAACACTAGCATTTTTTAACCTATTTCATTGTCATATTGTTTCACCATCGCTTAGGATCAATGACAATGTCCCTGATCTGGAACGCAGGCCAGTCTGCAACCGGAACAACATCCATGGGGAGTCTGTCCACTGCCATTTGGACCCTCTTTCTCTCCAAGCTGTCACAGCTGAGCCCTGCAAAATGAATGATTTGCATTGTCACCAGGATTTGCCTGTGTCCCATGAACATTCCCTCAGTGCTGTATCCCATGAACATTCCCTGCATGCCGTATCCCATTAACATTCCTTCAACAGTTTCCGTGGAGCGATGCCAGTTGACACTACCCCAGAACTGCCCTGGTTTCCAAGAGCTGGTTAATGAAACACTTTGCAGCCAAGGAACAGCTCGAGTCTGGTCTGCGGAGCTGTTCTCGGAGGCAGCACGAACCTTCGTAACACGGCCAAGGCCCGTGTGCATGAGAGCCGGTAAGTGTCTGTGGAAAGGAAGTATTTCCTAATTTCTAGGAATTTATGATGCTTTCAAGGCGATTAGTAACATTTAGCAGCTTCTAGCACTTTGTGGACTAAAAAATAGTAATAATAATAGTAAAAGAATGAAGGTAGGTTTAAAGATTGAATGATGTCGTGATTTGTAGCCCCAGTGTAGTAGGGCTGCAGGGAGCGCGGGCTCCGGCGCGGCCGCAGGGGCGGAGCGGGCGCGGGCGGGCGCAGCGAGCGGCGCCGCCTCCCACCGCCATGACCATGGCCGCGCCGCCGGAGCCCCCTCCGGCCTCCGAGCCCCCGCCAGCCGCCAAGGCCCCCGGCCGCCGCCTGGCCGCCGTGGAGCCGCTGCTCTTCCTGGCCACCGTGTCGCTGGGCCTGCAGGGCCCGCTGGCCACGCAGTACCTCTGGGACCGCCTGGGCGCTGACCTGGGCTACAGCAGAGGCAACAGCAGCAGCGCTGATGGCTGCACCGAGGGCCCCGGCGCCAACGGCAGCACCGACACCCTGCAGCGGGTGGGAAGCGGGTGGCTCCGTGGAGAGTTGGACCCCCCAGGGTAAGCAGGTCGCACCGCCTTATGTGTGTTTTTCTTTTAGGAAGTGGAGACTCTTGTCTCCCACTGGAATCTCTACATCAACCTGGGAGGCTTCTTCGTGGGTCTCTTCTCGGTGACGCTCTTTGGGCCATGGAGCGACAGCGTAGGTCGCCGGCCGGTGCTCATCCTGCCTGCAGTTGGCATGGCCATGCAAGCGGCCATCTACCTTCTCGTCATGTACCTGCGACTGCACGTCGGCTTCTTTCTCCTTGGACGCATTTTGAGCGGCCTCACAGGAGACTACAACCTGATCCTGGCCAGCTGCTTCGCCTACGTGGCCGACACCAGCGCGGCACGCGCGCGCACGTTCCGCGTGGCCGTGCTCGAGGCCTGCCTCGGCGTAGCGGGCATGTTAGCCAGCATTGGGGGTGGCCAGTGGCGCAAAGCCCAGGGGTACATCAACCCCTTCTGGCTCGTGTTCGCTGCCAGTCTCGCTGCTGCTCTCTATGCTGTTTTCTGTCTTCAGGAGTCGGTGAAGCAGCGGAAACCAGCCAAGCTCTTCACTCTCAGTCATTACATGGCCGTGTACAGGCTCTACACCACTCCAGAACGCCAGGGCTCCAGGCAGAAGCTTGCGCTCTACTCCTTGGCTTTCTTTCTTATTGTCACTGTACACTTTGGAACCAAGGACATCTATGTTTTGTATGAACTTGGCTCTCCTCTGTGCTGGGCTTCTGATCTCATCGGGTACGGTTCAGCTGCCAGTTACCTGGCTTACCTGAGCAGCCTAGCAGGGCTGCGGGTGCTGCAGCTGTGCCTGGAGGACACCTGGGTGGCAGAGTTAGGACTCATCTCCAATATTTCTGGATTGGTTGTGATGTCTATTGCTACTACAACTCCACTGATGTTTACAGGTGATGCCAATTCTTAGATGCTGCTATCTCAAGGGATTAACTTAGAGATATCAGAACATGCAAGACAGCAGTGTGCTCTAGGGAGAAAATCACATGGAAGAAGCTTTGCCTCTGCTTCAGCCCACAGAACTAGGACTTGCCGACAGCAAATTTGGCCGAGCACTGATGAAATTGCAACCATGTAGATTCAACATCATTAGATTTTCAGAAAGCCACACAGGTGGCATGTATGCCTGCAGAGACTAAAGACCAATTGTGAAAAGGAGGGTGAACTGGGACTAAGCAGTAGCTGAGAGAAGCAGATAGGGGCTGTACATGTATGGAACTGACTTTGGAGACTGTGAGGTTTAAGTCACTATAGCTTGAGCTGAGCTTTCTCTAATGTGTCATGTCTTGTTCACAGGTTATGGGATGCTGTTCCTTTCCATGGCAGCCACCCCAGTCATCAGAGCCAAACTCTCCAAGCTGGTGAATGAGACAGAACAGGGTAAGGAATTAGGCAGATTCTGAAACACTGGCCTCTTGGAACTGTGCCACAAAACTGCTTTGAGAAGTCAAGACTTCTCTAGCTCCTTCATGTTCTTTTAATGTCCACTGTGAGGCCCTGGGTGACACTTTAGTTTGTTAGAACAGTTGTCAGTTATCACTGCTGTAGACGTTATCATCTTGAAAATGCAGCATAAGAAAAAAAAAAGCAAGATGAGAAGTATTGCATTCAAGCTCAGGAATGGGTCATTTCCTGGCCTGTTGATTTCCAAACCTTTCATGAGGAGCAAAAATTAAAATAGATTTTATAACGTGCTAAAAACAGTGATTTCCCCTAGCATAACTCTCTTCTGTAGATCAGTAACAGTGGGTAGAAGCTCAGTCTTGTTAGAGAGTTATATCATTGACCGTGGTGAAAGATCACGGACAATCCACAGTAATTTGCTTTAAGAGGCCATATGTGCTGTTAAGATCTGCCTTGAAATACCTCTGCAGCTAGAGAGAGGGAAGAAGGGATGTGAGATGGGAGGGATCCAGAAGTGACTTTGTAGAACTGTTTCTTGCATTAGCTTGATGGTGGCATATACTTGATACCTGGTTTATGATGCTAACCCTGCAAAAGGCAGTGTCCTGCTACACTTAATGTTTAACAAGTGATAAGATGTGCTTGGCAATAAACAGATATAGATAGCCTCTTCTGAGGCATTTACAATCCAACTGATACATAATGTCCCTGCACGGTGCTGGTGGTACAAATTCTGGAGGTCGGTGGGGTAGTCTGGGCTGCAGAGGAGCTGAGCCTGGCCTCTTTGGCTGGCTTGGCCAGGCGCAGCAGGCCTGGCCTCTGCTCACAGCTCTTGCCTCACCACATTATACACTGCAGACACCAGTTTTCTGATCAAAAGTGCAAACATTTCAGAAAGATTCATGAATACCATTGAAGGGGGTAATGTGGTAAACACATTTAGATGTTCCTCAGGTGGGTCTGTCTTATCATTAACTTTTTAATCGTTTTTTTTTGCAGGTGCTCTCTTTGCTTCTGTTGCCTGTGTGGAAGGGCTGTGTTCACTTGTGGCTTCAGGAGTGTTCAACTCTCTCTATCCTGCTACTCTGCACTTCATGAGAGGGTTCCCCTTTCTCTTTGGGGCACTGATTCTTCTTATTCCAGCAGCTATTATTGGGTAATTTGCTTTCTATTTTTAAACTCTGCTGGAAGACCTCTGAACTGTAATATTAAAATCACTATTTATTCTTCATAGGACAGGAGTTCATTATAGATTTTTAAGGTGTGTTTTCAGTTGTGCTTATGGAAGGGAGTTTAGTGCCCTAGTAAGTGGAGGTGCAAGTCCATTTCTTCAAGCATCTGAGTTGTAGGGATAAACCTGCACCCCAAGTAATTCAACTGTCTATACTGGGTGTTTCAAAGTCTCACTCCACTTCTAGCACTGAATCCAGACTCTGGAGTTAGACTATATGTACTGTCTATAAAACTCTGCATGGAAAAGAGCATCTCAACCTCTAGCAGCTCCTGGCAGGGTCATTTCTGTTACTGTGTAAAACTAAAACTCACCTGGAGTAAAGAAGTTTGTGTTCCTTCCTAGGCTCTAACTCTGTTCTTTCTTTCTTAGGTTAATAGAAGTCTGGGACTCGCACCTTGCATATCGTCACTTCTCACGTTCTTCCATGTCACTTACAAACAGCTGAGGAGTGACCCAGCACCAATGACTGGGCTGGTTCAGCAGCATCCATTCCAGGACTGCTGGAGGTTCTCCCTTTGGAGAACGGATCGGTGTGCGAGGGACACCTTGGTTATCCTTGTTCATTTTTTAAATGCTGAGTGATTGAAAATCATGGCTCCAGTAGGGACTTGATTTGCAAATATGTTCTGTTGATTTGTCTGTGAGAGAAAACCCAAGAAACTCGGACTCGAAAGCTAATCAAGAATAAAAACTATTGTTGGACATTTGCAAGGCCAGTTAGTATTTCCTTTCCTTTTTTTCTTTTTTCCCTTTATTTCTTTTATTTGAGGTTTTTGTGGCATGCTTTTAGTGATGGGAGCGGGGTGGAATTCTCTGTTAAATGCCAAGCATGCTCCCAAGCTGTTGGTGTGTGAGATATACAGAGCACCCCTGAAGCGGACAGGTAGCCCAAGGGCTATGCTGCCAAGGAAAGTGATCGGTGTTCCAGACCAACTGTGACTAACAGAATCACATAAATGTCACAGGCCATGCTAGGCTCCTGCAAAAATCCTTGTGGTAAACAGTAGTTGGTCACAGGAGTGCCGTTCTTGCCACTATTTGATAAAGTGATTTTCATTTCACAAGTAAGAGAGATCCTCTATGGCACCTAATCCACAAAGTGCTTGTAGTTGCGAGGGTCGGTGACACATCCTGTTTCTCCATGTGCCACTCAGACTGGGACTTCAAATATCTTTATGAGCAGAGCTGAGAGGTGAAGATGCTGAACTGCAACCTCGTACTCTTGTTGATAGTGGCTAAAACTGACAAGAGTAAGGATAGAATTGACAATATTGACCCCGCCTAGAGCACTGAAAGACCTGGGAAACAACTGCGGTGTTTCTGCAGTCCATCCTTGTTGGTAGCCTGAGCTGGTGTGGGAACAGGACTGGTATCTTTAGAGGTGGAATTCTGCATTGTCGGGGGGTGATTTTGTGTCTACGACCTCTCTTGGATCTCTCTTCTCAGGAGAGGTTGATGCCAGCAAGCCACTGCTGTCCCTAATTGCCCAAACCCCAGTGTTCCTAACAATTCTTTCGAAAGCCTTAAGCATTGCCTCATAACATTTTCTTCAAACTGAAATAAAGCAGCAGTTCTGATGATGATGATGAGCGTGTGCTCATCCAGAGGTATAGGCAATAATGTCCTTCCTATGAAATTGCTTAGCAGACATGTTACTTCTAGCATTAATAACATCTCCATTTTCTTTTATGGCTCATAAAAAAGATAACTTTTGTGGTACAGCTGCTTGCAATTTGTCCTTGTCTTGTTCAGTGCTTATCTCTCTGTTATTTTCATTCTTCACTCTGCAGTTAAGAATTTGCAGTAAAGAAGCAACAGCAGGAAGTTATCTGCTGTGTGGGGAATTAATATGCCTGGGCCCCAAGCCAGGGGGAATGCAGTTTTGGGACTTAACAAGCAGCTATAACCTGCTTTTCCTGAATACCAAAGTAAAGCTTGTAGCAGTGCCTTGTCTGTAACCCATCCTTAAATACTAAGTGAATGTGAAACGCTGATGTACAACGTTGTTCCTTGCTCATTAGGAATTTGTTGATAAGCGCAGGAGAATTTGGGAGTGAGGAGACAGAACATGGAGAAGTAAGGAAGTTTTAAGAACTTGGTGTTACTCCACTTGGTCCTTGTAGCTATGCCAGTAGACATAACTCAAGCAGGACTTATGTGATTCAAAAACTAAGCCCTGAATTAGCTTCCAGCCAGAATGGGCTTTGCTGTGAATGTTTGGTTAGATATCTGTGGTTGAACTGGTCGAGAAGTAAATCTCTTCACTAGCAGAGCCAGTGGGTTCCAGTGCTACCAGTTGCTAAACATTACACAGTGAAGTGAAACTTGTGTACAGGCTCTAGTTCCCCGTTTATTTATCATTGTGCTTGCAGAGAAGTTCAACAGGATCTATCATGCTCTGTACAAAAAATAAAAGGGTAAGGGAGGGGAAGAAAAAGAAAAGGGTTTTATGCTCTCCTTCAAGACTATAACCCTGTAGCAAATATGTGATCCCTGTAGTGTGACTGTGGGCAGCAGGCAGAGTGCAGCGAGCTACACCCGACCATGCAGAGATGAGCATGAAGCGTGGGTCCTCACAGAGAATAATGTCTGGAGAACTTGAGTCCCCTGGTCAGCATGTCTTGCCCCATGAGAGGGTGAGAAAGGTGATGGCAAGAGAGGGAAGCACGTGGCACAAACAGAAAGGAGGTGAGAATTTAGAGTACAAACCACATTTATTGATAATGGCCGGCAGAACAACTTTAAAGACTTTCTGATAAGACATGACAAAGGAATAAGAAAAGGTGAGAAGCATTTCTCCCTTCAGGATCTTCTGCCCCGACTCGAAGGGGTTGGGAATGGGATGCTTTGCAAAGAGTTCATTGGGATGAAGGTAGTAGAATGATAAGAAAACAGGAAGAGTTACAGTTTGAACAGCTGGAACAAGGAGTGGGATCTGATTTCAGGCGAAACCAGCTAAACTGTAGAAGACAACTAAATCTACTCTATATTAAGTGTGGGTGAAGAGGTTAAATGATGGAGAGCTCCTGAGAAACTATAAGCCCTTTTTACACAAGATTCTTGCTTCTAGTATCTTTCTGGGATTTTTGTATAGTATTGCAAGCAACAAAATCTTTAGGACTCTTTGTTCCAGAATCTCCATCAGTGGGCATGGAGGCCTTGACCTTCAACCGGTGACTCAAAACTTTTCCCTGAAGTAACTCACATAAAAGCCCTGTGGTTTTTATCCTTCGGTATATTCACCTTTGGGCTCATCTGCTGTCTTCCTCTTATTTAATCTGAAGATTAGCTGGATTCTGTTTCTGATTACTGCTGGGCGGATATGGCATTAACCTTCTTCCTCCAGAAAGCAGAGATGCCATTAACTATGAATTGGTAAGAACTGTCCATAAAGATGTGATTAAGCACCTGAATTTAACATTTTCTTTTGTCTTTCCTCAGATATGCATAAACCTGAGCAAATGCTTGTGTTCCTGAAAGTAGAAAGGTAGAAAGGCTTCATGGAGAGCCAGGAGAAGGACAAGGTGACTCGACTGCTGGGCTGGAGCATGGCTGAGCCTCCTCATTCCCTCCTGAAAGGTAAGGATTATCCTGAGCAGGGACTGGCTGAGGAGCTTTCTGCGTTCTGTTCTGCCGGGGGATACATGAGCCAGCTGCCCAGAGTGTCTGGGCAGGCTGGAGTTACCTGGCCATGGGTTTGCTCCTTGGAGGAGGACTGTGCTGTGGGGAGGACATCAGGCTCAGCATCAGAAAAGACATCTCAACGAGGTGGAACTACAATTTCAGGTCTCAACTGCAAAATGGTACCTTGTTGAGGGCCTGCTCACCTTCCAAGGAGGTGTGAGGAGGAGGCCAGAAGGTCCCGTTGAGGTGCGCCTGGCCCCTCAGCTTCGTGCTGATAGTGACACAGCCAGTCCTGCTCTCAGTCCATGCTCCTGCCTAGCAACCTCCCCCTGGGCTTCAGAAAAGGAGTTAGAAGAAGGGACACAGGAACAGTCACTACCTGGCATTGCATCCAGCAGAGGACAGGGACGACCCTGAGCTTGGGGACTGTAGCCAGGGCTATCAGGTAAGTGCCAGTCAGCAAGGAGGAGAGCCAGCTCCTGTTCAAAGAACAAGCCTTAGGAAGTCTGTAGTGCAGAACCAACAACAGAATAACAGAATAAAACATAGCTAGTGTATATAGTAACTCCTCAGGTACAGCACAGCAACTACCATCTTCCGTATTTGCATGGTGATATATTTTCAGGACTCCCAAACCAGCCTCCTGTACCCTGTATATAAGGACCTGGTCAAGTGGCAAAGCTGAGACGTCAGGCCAACAGGTTGCTTTCAAAGCACTTCTTGCAACAACCCTGTGGAAACTTCCCTTGATCTAAAACTAAGCTGTGGCCAGAGCTAAGAGCACAAAGTGGTTTATGCAGCATGAGGAAGGAAAGGCCTCAAGGAAGGCAAGAACTCGAGTGCTGAAGGGGCAATAATGAGGAAGTGTCTTCCCAAACAAATGACAAGGCCCTGGCCCTCCCTGCTGAATGCATTATCTTCCCCAAACATGAGGATTTCCTTGGGCCTTAGCTACTGTTTGCCCTTTCCTCTCTGAAGCTACCGACCTCAATGATATTCCCTGGGTTCCCAGCAGAGGCTATAAGACGCTCGCAGGCTCTTTCAGCCACTATTCTCCATCCTATGTCTTGCTGTGACCCCTCATTACCCTTCCAGCTTACAGTACTTAGAGGATCTCTGCTCTAGGGCTGCATTTTTTTGGTGGTGCTGCAGCTCTTTGAGTAGGATTTGGGCTGTGCCTGTCTCCTGTGCGCTCGCTGCACTGTGGAGGCATAACCTGAATATCCTGAAGGGAGGATGTGAAAGGCAACTGGTCCCTCCTTGAGGGGCTCCACTCAGGTCCTGGGTAAGGGAGTACTGGCCAAGTGCTAAAGGTTTTCATTTGGAGGAAAAGAAGGACTAGAGCCCCATGACTGCACCAGTCACAGGCCTCATATCAAGCCAAGAGCTGGGTCAGATTCAGAGGGAGGGAGACTGTTGGGCACCAATAAAATGTAGGAAAAGTCTAGAGGGAGAGATTTGGCCCCACCAGAAAAAGGGTCATGTGGAAGATGTCTGGAGGGAGCGAGGCAACTGTGTTGTTTCTAGGTCTGCCCGTGGGAGGGCGAGCAGTCCAGGCCATTCTCTGACCCAGCTGAAGAGTCGCGTGAGGAACGGCCCTGGAGAAAGCGGATGATTTTGTCAATTGTGGCCTCCTGGTACTCATGGGACCATCTGTGTTGGAGGGGAAAACAGTAGTTAAACTTTCTGTTGTATGGGCCGCTGCAACATAGCTCAGATGTTGGGCCATGGGCCAAGGATCCCCTTTTCCTACATCCAGTCCAGCTTTCCAGTAACACCCCTTTTCCCTGTGAAGGTGGAGGAACACTAGATGCTCCAGGAAGACCCTCTGGATCCCATCACAGGACTGCAAACAATTTGGAAAGCCAACTTGGAGCACTGCTTCCTTGCAGAGAAGCAGGAAGTGAAAGGTACCCAGCATGGTTGGAAGGAACAGCAAGCTCCTGCACCATGGGTGGTGGTGATGAGTGTCTTCCCAGTGGAGAGGGGGCAGAAAACCCTGTTTATCCAGGTAAGTCCCAAGTGCAAAAGCAGCAGAAGGTTCACGGTGGGGACCTTTGCTCTCTCCATGCTCTCAAGTGACTCACCTCCCCTTTGGTTTGCTCTGCCTCCCTCGTCCGTTTCCCCTGATCTAGTGCTCTTTGCTGCTATTTGAGCAAGCTGCCCTTCCCAGGTGCCAAGGCACCCCATAGCACGGGCTACTCTTACTTACTTGATGCCATTAAATTTCAAGACAGCTCTCATGTCTTCAGGAAGCGTCTGTGGATCGGGCCACTCAAAATGATCTGTGACTGGCACAATGTTCTTTCCAGCGTTAAGGGCTGTCACGATCTCCTGTGGGTACATGCAGTGCTCAGACTGTGGCCTGCATCAGTCCATCACCAGCCCATTCCTCCTCCAGCTCACGCCACGCTCCCATTTTCTGGCATCTCTTACCTTGTGCACCCAGTCCTTGCATTCAGGGTCTCCCATGCACTTATCCAGTGCATTTGGCGAGAGCACCAGCACGAAATTGCGGGCATTCATGACACTCTGGGTCAGTTTGTCCTCAAACTTCCCTGCCTCCAGCTTCTCCACGTCGATGAAGACACTGAAGCCGTGCAACTGCAGGTGGACCTTCAGCAGGCTGGTGGTGAGAGGAGACAGCGTCGCCAGGAGCACTCTGCCTGCGTTTCATGCACTCTCCCACCACCTCAGCCTGGACACTGGGAAACAGAGAAGCAGGAAGAGGCTTCTGCAGAGCACAGCAAGGTCCTTGAGATGTCAGCTGCCAGCCCTGCCTCCCTGCTGCAGGTATTTGGGCTTTGGCAGGAAAACAAGGAGTAGGACATTAACTCCCTGCTGTGATCCTCTATAGCCCTCTGAATACGGGATAAGAGAAGGTGTCAATGTCAAAGAGGGACAGAATGGCAATTATGGGACTGCAAATTATCCTGTTAGTCACGCAACTTTTGGCATTTGTTGTCCCTGTTTGCATTTTGGCTTTTGGCACCCGCTGCCCTTCCTGCTTTCCCACCAGCTGCGGCGCTCCCTGTCTCGCCGTGCAGCTGGCTCAAGTCTTTTTGTGCAGGCGGCTGGAGGCTCTTTGTACTCCCATCACCAACCTGTTCGTGTCTGGGCTTTAACCCAGCGCGATGATGTTGCCCACCTGGCTAGCTGCGACCCCGTGCTCCTCCGGTAGCTGATAAATACATCAGTCCCACTGGCTGAAACTTGCAGCGTTATAGGGGAGTGAAGCATTTCTAAACAAAGCGAACGGCAACAAAAAGTTTAAAAGTGCCCAGCAATTTATCCCAACCCACCCCAGCCTCCAGACTTGCCCCTTGGCCCCCACCCGCCTGCCCTGAGCCCGCACCCCGGGCAGCAGAGAGGATGCGGACGCGGTGGAAACCCATGTTGATGTGGCAGTCCTCCTGCAGCTGCTGCTCCGTCACGCGGTGCAAGAGGTTGCGATTGATGCCACACGCCAGGAGGTTGTACGTGTACTGCCGAAACTTGGGGTCGATGCTGCCCAGCCAGTCAGCCAGGTTGCTTTGGTCGCAGGTGGAATAGTTGGCGAAGGTCTTGAGTTCCGTCAGCTCCCGGAAAAACCTGGCAGAGCAACAGATGAAAGTGTTGAGCGGGGAGGGAGGAACGCTGAACCAGGTAAGGCCTAGAGATGCTTGATAACATACGGCTTTTATCTGCACAGAACAGTGCTCTTAGATGCTCATTCGATAAAGAATGAACAAAAGAAGAGAAGAAAGAGGCCAAGCAGCTGCATGACCCTGGGAGCATTGATGCAGGACACCGAGCCCTGAGGAGCTCAGTCAAGGGAGGTAAGTTCCCTTTTTTTTTTTCTGGGCAATACACAGGATCCCACCTTGGTTTCTCTGCCAGTTTCTATGGATAGTCACTCGCCATGCCCACCTCTCTGGGGCATTGCCCCATTGCAGGAATCCTTCTGGGCCTGCGTACTGCACCTGTAATCCAGGTCTCCCTTTTCAGGATCTCTGGTCTTGCCTTTGTGGGAAGAGCGCAGGTATTTTTCCTGCCTCTGCCCCGGTGCTGATTGCCAGGGAGAGGCCAGTGTGTGCTAGGAGTGCTCCTGGGGTAGAGTTCCTACCTTTTCCGAGTGATGCTGGAGTCCATCCCCAAATCCTCCTGCAGCTCCTTCTCCGTCAGTCGCAGGAGTATGTCCCCGTCCACCTGGTGGTCCTGTCGAGAGAAGCCCAGGCAGGGCTTTAGGGAGTGCAGAACCTCAAGGAGGGGCTACAGAAAGCTGCCCCTTGTGAGAGACACCTCAGGGACCTGAGGGGCAAAAGGAGCCACCCAGCTGTCCCTCCCCTGCCACGTGCCCTACCAGGAAGCTCTGGCAGTACTTGTTGAATCCAATCTGCTGTAGCCACGTTTGCACCTCAAAGGTTTTCCAATTGGGAACGGTGGGCAAGATGCGCCGAGGCACCTCCTCCCCTATCATGCGCAGCACTTTTTTGGCCAGGGAGGAGATGGTGCCACTGGTGGAGTAGCACACGATCCTCTTCAGGCTCTGTGTAGCCCCAATCTCGCTGAAAATCTGCGGACGCAAAGGGAAGACCCATAACTTCTCCTGCCCTTCCTTGCCCCCACAACCTGTGCTCGACCATCCTCAGGCCAAGATACTCAGAGGGCTCAAAAGGGAGCAAAGGACACTGAGATGTCCCCTTCCCTTTGGCATCTTCTTCCTGCTGGCCAACCTACCCTTTACCTTTGTTTTCTTCTGCCTGGTTTTGATGGCAGCCTCTGTGCAGAGGTAGAAGGCAGCGATGCACTGGGCCTCCAGCCGCGAGCTGTCCAGCAAGGGTACCAGGCGCTGCAGGTCGGCGGCTGTCCTTCCCTGGCTGTTGTCACTGCTGTCCAGCATGTCACACGCAAACTGCCCTGGGTCCAGAGAGGCGATGAAGGGCTCCACCAGAGCCAGCGTCCCTGAGCGCTCCACCTCCTTCTCGATCTCTTTGTTGGTGGCCAGCACCGTGATGGCCAGGCATGCGTGCAGACGGATCAGCTCATCATCCCTTGAGAACACCAATGGGAAGAGCCACTCTGCCGTCTTCTTCTCGATCATGAGGCGCTGGTTGGCCTGCCCACCGTACATGGCACAGTTGGCCAAGGCCATGGCACAGTGACGCAGCACCACAGGGTCTGTCCAGCGGCACCAGTAAAGGATGGCATCCAGGCCTCCATCAGAGATGAGCTGGAAACACGTCTCCTCGGTGTGTTTGAACATATGCTCCAGGATGCCAGAGGTGCTCTGCGCCAGCTGGGGAATGTCTCGTTCCTTTGCTAGATTCAGGATCACCCCCAGACCAATCCGAGCAATCCGGTCCCTGGAGAAAGGAGAAACAGAGGCAAGTAAGGGGCAGATGGCCGTGCAAGTAGCGAGAAAGTACCTCACTGGTGAACTCCTTCAGATCTCAGTGACATTTACCCTGTGACAGACCGATGTTTCCCCGCAGGCCCTGCTGTCCATTTTCATAGAGGAGCTTGTGATAGGACAATATGTGGGACCCTGTGACAGGGACTCCCTTTTGCTCTGCTGAAGAGGTGCAGAACAAGCAACAGTGCAGGTAAGATAATGCCAGGCAAGGAACAGATCTGTTTACTCAGCTGTCCTGGGGTGTAGGAACTGCTCTGTGTTCAGAGTGAAAACTTGTTTGCCCCTGACCAGCATCATGACCTGTCTGCTTTCCAGCTTGGTACCAAGCACAGGACAAGGGGCTGCACCTGGGGCTGAACGATTGCTCCCACGGTTGTCAGGTTGCAATCCAGGCCTTGACTGATGCTCAAGTGCCATGAGCAGCAGGGTCCAACACTTCAGCAGCCTTATGAGGTAAAGGCAGCAGATCAAGCCCTGTGCTGCCGTGTGCTCCACATGCAGCCGTCATGTGGCCAAGACGTGGCCGTTCTGCTGCCTGCTTGGACAATTGCAAGGCCCGCTCTTTGAAGACAGGGAAACAGCTTCCATGTGACCAGACATACTTGTTGCGTAACTGAAACCACACATACCCTCTGGCTGACGTGTGTGCAGCCTCTTGGGACTGTGACAACTGCATTTCACTCATATCGCTGTCCCAACAAGGTCAGTGTGGCAGGGAGAGGCTACCGGGCCCTTGTGAAAGGAGGGCACGGGTTTGCAAAGTGCCAGGACCAGTGTGTGGGTTGCAGCGATCTCCCTGCCCAGTGCTCTTGGGTGCAGGACTGGCTGTGGCGATACGCTCCACGTTGGGCCTTTGAAACAACTGCCCTGGTGCTGTGGCGGATGTGCTCTGAGTTGGCCTAGATCTTCCTTGTGTTGCTTGTGGGACCCAAGACCCTAAGGCAGGTCAGTGTCAGGCTGGGGTGGTGGTGGGGATGAAGACACACCAGCATCTCTGTGCTGACGGGCCGGAAGGCGTTTCTGGGAAGACAGTGGCCTGCACAGCTCACGCTGACCTTGGGCTGGATTTGGCAGCAAACGCTGTGGAGAGCTCTGGAAAAAGAAAGCACTCACTCTGGGGCTGGCCTCAAGCCCAGGCTCTGCTGTGGCATCAGATGACAAATGAGGAGATCCATCGGGTTCCCAGAGCCATAGGATGGAGCTGGAGTTGAGACCAGTCCAGCTCCAACCTGAGCCCTGCGGCACTCAGGTGCCAGGAGAGCCCTGTAAGGCAGAGCCTCAGGAGCTGCCCCGGTGCCCCCTGTCCTTGCCTGGAGGGTGGTGGCAGGGCAGAAAGCCCCAGTGCTGCAGGGAGCAAGGGGAGGCTGGGGGGCAGCTACCTGCACCGAGACCCCGGCCCACAACAGCTCTTGGAGCAGAGATGTGACTCCTGCAGCTGCTTTCTCTTGCCAGGAAGTCATGTGCTGGATTCAGATCATGCCTGTGACGTCTCCTTGGGTTAATTCCACCTTAATGGACTTTCCTGGTTTAGCTCTTTTGTTTATCTGAGCCTCGCTGAATGCAGTGGCAGGCAAAGACTTGATGCCCATGAATCCACTGCAAGTCCAGCGTGATGCCCATCAGTCTGTGAGTTGACCAATGTCTAGAGGGAACTTGACCTTCTGAACTCCCCTGTCCTGAAGCTCCACGTGCCTCAGCTCTGTCTCAGAGTGCAGCTCTGGGAATGGCACTTAAATGTGTCCTGACCCTGTTGATACCTGCAGACTTGCAGGTGCTTCCCTTCCTTACAGGACAGCTCTTCACACCTGCTCCGGTGCCGCCTGGCAGAGCCTGCTCCTGCTGTGAGATCCCTGTGGGTGGCTGAGGACAGGGTCCCTTCCAGCTGATGTGCTCCTTCCTGAAGAGCCTGAGGCTCTGGTGACGGACAGAGTCAGAAGATGCAGATGCCCTCAGGTGGAGCATGGCAGCACTGAGTGTGCCCTGAATGGCACAGGGAACCTGTGCTGGAAAGCCAAGTGGAGCAGCCCGTGGGTCAAAAGTCTGCAGAGGAGATGAGGAAACTCCCTGACATGCGTAAGGTGCACTGCACATGAAGCTGCAGCAGGGCTCTGAATTCTGTCCAGGCTTTCTCAAGCTTGATGCAGCCTGAGTATAGACACACCGCCACTGTCTTGCTGCAGGAGTCAGCAGGGTATTAGGAGAAGGAAGGAGCAGTGACCACTGGATGGAGAGAAAGCACTGGCAGCGATGCAGGGCCGCAGCGTCAGGAGGACAGCTGCGAGTGAAGCTGAGGGCCAAGCCCGTGCAGAGCTATTCTGCCGTCTGCAGCAGCGCTGCGCTCCGTGCTCCGAATGAGCTTGGGCTCTCTTGGAGCGAGCCACGGTCTGAGCCAGTGGGCACAGGCCTTCTGTGGCCTGTGTAGTAGAAATGTGTCACGAGAACAGCACAGAGGGCCTAGACATTAAGGCTGCAGCAAAAAGGAACAAATGGCACAGTTCCCCCCATACCTGTCCCCGGCATCCCTGCAGGAGGAGTCCTGGGCAGGATGCTCCCTGCTCGCTCGTAGCACTTGGGAACAAAGGGACACTGGATGGAGCAGTGTCAGCACAACCCAGTGTGCTCGTGCCTGCCTGAGGACCAGCTCCTTCAGACTCCTAGACTCGCTTGGAGTGAGTTTAAGCAGGGGTGGGACAACTTTGCCTGCACAGCCCCGATGCTGAAGGGCCTGAGGCTGGTGCAGCTCATGTGAGGTGGGTGGCTTCTCCCTGGGCTCTGGCTCTGCTGGGAGCAAATCGCTGCCGGGCACAGGCAGGGGGGACCTGCACAGGGAGGGTCTGTACACGTGCAGGGACACAGAGCGGGAGGCTGCTGATGGAGGGGGGCTGGTTAGGGTGTCCAGGGCACGTACTGCGCTGGGGTCAGCCTCAGTGAGGGGAGGCTGTGCGCCTGGGCCGGGATCATTGCAGACTCACCTGTTTTCTGCCACCAGGATCTGCTCCAGGAGTTTTCCTGCCTGGCACTTGGTCTCCAGCTCGGCTGTGTGCAGCAGATTCAGCAGCAGGTCCAGGCCGCCCTCCAGGCGGATGGCATCGCACAGCACTTTGGCCACGTCCCTGCCCAGCGTGGGCATCCCCCAGGCTTCTTCCACGAGCTGGAAGATGTCAGTGATGGCCTTCCTGAGCTGAGCTGGAGCAACCGCCCGCTTGGCGGAGGCGAGGGCCTGGTGCAGGGTGGGCAGGATGCGGTCCAAGGCCGCCTGCACATCCGTGTTCACGCCGGGAGAGACCTCGCGGTGCTCCCTGGAGCTCCCTGCGCCTGCCCACCAGCCCGGCTGGCTCACGCAGTCCGGCACCACCAGCCTCTCCGCCCCCGACATGGCAAAGAACCGGCAGAGCTTATAGACAGAGACGAGCAGCGTGAGCACCATCGGCAGCCTCTAGCACCGCATCCTCGGTCGCCCTTGTGCTGGGAGTGCCCGAGCAGGGCCCCCGCGCTCCCTGGGGCACCCAAGCTGCTCGTAGGGGGTGACGGGGAATGGAGCTGGCCAGGTGCTGGGCTGGGACAGCGGCTCCCTCTCCCCTCTCTGTCCTGCCGGGGTGTGGAGCTGGAAACCGGGCAGGAACCACCCACCCAGAGCCGGGCTTAGCATCTCCGGTCCAGAGCTGATGTCACCCCGCTCAGGCGCCGCCCCTCCGAGGAGGGGCTCGGCAGCAGCATCCCCCTCCCTGCTGCAGATGCTCTGGCATCTCTCCAGATCCCTCCTTCCACAGCTCAGCTCCGGTCACAGTCCTCTGCCTGCCCTGCCAGGGCTTGGGGCCAGCCTGGCCTTCCCCACCACCCCCTCCTTCCTCGCCCGGCTCCCGGGGGGCAGAGGCCCCGTGTTGCCCCCACGGCTGCTCCCTCCAGGCACCTCTCTGATCCAAGGGGCATGGGGTGAAGACAAAGAGCCCGGCCGTGGCTGGTTACGGCTGCACTCCTGGCCCTCCGTTTCAAACGTGTTTGGGATCAGTGCAGTGAGGAGAGTAGCTGCCTGTGCTGTGGCGCGGATCCAGAGTGGCTTTGCTGGGTGGGTTCAGGATTTGCATTACAAAAGAAAGAACAGAGACAGCCTGGCCTGCTTTATTTTTTTTTCCAGGCCAGACGTGCTTAGGGCAGAAATGTTTTGGACCCTTCTTGCTTGTGTTGGGAGGAGCAGCTCAAATCCTTGGTTCCAAAGCCAGTCTGCTGCCAGCTCAGACTGAGACTTAAATTCAAGTTGATGTTTTGATGCCACAGTCCCTTTTAATCCTCTCTGAAGCCACACAGAAGGGATAGTCACAGGAAAGGGACATTAGCTCACAGCGAAGGACGGTAAACAAGGCGATCCGAGGGGCACGGTACTGCAGGAAACGCCGGGCACGGAATCAGTAAGGATTTTCCTGATAAATTATTATTAACCAGGGGTAACTATGGTGTGGGTTGCTGCTACGCAGCGCAGCAGAGGGGTTTGCCACCTTGGAAGGGAGTACTGTGCAAAGGGGCAGAACTCAAACCATTCCTTTTAACTCCTTACAAGCTCCAGGAGCTTGTCCTCCTTTTTTGGGAGTAGTTTTTGGCAGTGCCACGGCGGACTCTGTGTCTGCTCTATGTCCCCTGCCTTGCCCTGGGGAAACTGTCCCGTTGCCTGAGCTCCCCTGGCTGCTTCTGCTCCCTGCTGCGGCGAGGGGCTCCCCAGGGCCTGGTTCTCCCAAGTTCCTGGTTCTCCCCCTCTCCTGGGGGCTCTGAGCGTGGGGAAGGGCTTGCCCGGCTCCGTGGCTGCTGCGGGCGGGCGGCTCTGGGGCTTTGTCTCCGCCGATCAGCACAAGCAGCGCGGACGCTGCTGAGCCCTTCTCATCCCGCCTCCCCCACTGAGCGCCTCGCGGCGGAGACCTGGGCCCCCTCTGGACCCACTCATCCTCCAGCCTTGCTTGGATGAGGATGGGATGAGTTCTAGTGCGGCACGGGGCTCCTGCTTCCACGCAGGTAGGGTTCCAGCCCTGACGGGGCAAACAGTGCGGAGCGGGGCTGTGGGAGGAGCCCTGCCCACGCAGCCTGCGTCCCGCTGCTCTCCTCAGCTCCCCAAAGCTTTCCTGGCAGGCAAACATGTTTTTCTCAACACCAAATCCAAGGCCTTCCCGGCAAAACTGGTACTAGCCAATGCCAGAAACTGCCTGGGTCTGACCCAGCACAGACAGGGCTCTTGGACAGGCAGCGGCAGCACCCACCGGTCCGCTCTGCTGCTTTTCTCTGCTAATCTCTTGTTGCTAATTAAAGCTCAGGGCTGTGACAGTCCTGCCCCCGCGTTGGGGAAGACCCCTGCGTCGCTCCTGCCGTGGCAGTGGAAGCAGCCAGAGCCAGTATCTCTGTAGCCTTGTGTGCGTTTGCTCCTTGCCCCTGATTACATAATCATCCCGGAGTTATCAGAAACCGCAGAAAGGAGCTGAGTCAACATTAATTAGTAACTCAAAAGATTGTCTGCAAAGGGGGTGATGGGAGCAAAATACACGGGCTTTTATTTGTCTACTGCAGTGAAAGTGCACAGGACTTGCCTCCCTCCCTCCCTGCAAGCCACTCACCTCTGGCCCCTTGTGCCCATACACAGAGGTGGCATCTGTCCCATCCTAAGCTGCCACTTCTTGGCGCTCCCCAGTTCTGCTTCCAGCATTGCTGGCATTGAGGAAACCAAAAGCTCTTCAAAACGATGATGTTTCAGGCAAGTGGAATACCATAAGATTTGCTAAGAGAAAAAAATAAGGGTCTGAGACCTGACAACTGGTTTCCATTTCTGACCTGCTGTTGTTCCCGGCTCTCTGCATCCCTGGCCAGGCTGCACGTGTGCCACAAAGTCAGGCAGCGGGAGCCCCGTGCCCCAGCACTCTGCACGCAGGGAGCCTCGTCCCCATCACACAGAGCCGACAGAAGAAGGCCGGGAGGGGAGTGCATCTCTGCCCCTTTTCCCTCCGCTCTGACCTTGCCCTGTTTGTTTTCTCCCTCCGGGGCAGGCTGAGCAAACAGCCGAGTCCGGGGCTCCGGCTTCCACCGCGCCGCAGCCCGCGCACTTGCAGCAGGGCTCTGCTCCCGGCACCCACGATGAGGCTGCTCTTCCCAGCCCTCCTGCTGGGCCTGCTGGCCACAGCCCAGGCTGCTGAGGGTGAGTGTGAGCCCCCGGGCAGCCGACCTGATGCAATCCCCGGCACCGGGTTGCAGTGACACTGGGGAGGGAGCGGACGTGGCTGTGGGGTGTTCAGGGTGGCCGGGGGAGCCTGGGCAAGGCGAGGAAGGAGATGGGCAGTAACTGGGGTCCCTGGCTGTCCCCCAGTGTGGGGCAAAGCCCAAAGCAAGTGGCAGAGCACAGGGGTGTCAGCAGTGCCTGTGGCGCCGGGGCGAATCCCTGGCTGGGTGGCAGCTGCATCATGGGGAGCCAGCAGGCAACTCCGATCATTCTGGCTGCATCCATGACTCCCATCCCATCCCAGGGAGCTGGCGGCAGCACGGATGTGCAGAGGCAGCCCCTAGGCTGGGGGAGGCCATGGAGAGGTGGAGTGTCCTGGTAGGGAGTGGGCTGGTGTTTCCTTTACTCCTTCCTCGCTGGCTTGTGGCTCTTCCAGACTCCTGCCTGGGCCGCTGTGACAGCGGCTTCGACGCAAAGCGGAAGTGCCAGTGCGATGCCCTCTGTGTGTACTACCAGAGCTGCTGCAGCGACTACGCCACCGCCTGCAAAACCAAAGGTACCGGCAGCCGCGGGGCTGGCTGGGCAGAGCAGGGCCGCCACGGGGAGCCCGGGAACAGCGGTGCTTGGCCAGCAGCGTGGCCCCGGCCGAAGGCAGGGCTGGGGTTTGGTGGGTGGGTGCTGCCGTGCCAGGCGTTTCGGGCAGCTGGATCTGCTCCAGCGCAGGCTCTGGGTGCTCCTGGGTTGCCCCGAAGCAGCGGCAGCAGCAGGGTGGCGGGAGAGCACATTGCTGTGCGCAAGGCTCCCCGTTTCTGAACAGAGCGGGGTGCTGCCTGGCCATGCCAGCGCCCAGGGCCCTGTGCGGAGGCACCCAGGCCTCCCTGGGACCCACCTGTCCCCTCCGCAGTGACCCGCGGAGACGTGTTCGCCTTGCCGGAGGACGACTATGTCGACTACAGCCACACCACGGAGACCAGGGCTGAAGGGGAGACCGAGGCAGCACCCACAGAGTGGCCCACGACTCTGCCGCCCGTGCTGACGACAGAGGCGACTGAGATGGACCCTGAGCAGCCGCCACAGGAGGAGGAGGAGCCCGTGCAGGAGCTGCCCACCCTCACGTCGCAGGGACCTGTGGAGACGGACCCGGAGGGGGACCCGGAGCTGCTGTGCAGCAGGAAGCCTTTCGACGCCTTCACCGACCTGAAGAACGGCTCCCTTTACGCTTTCCGAGGTACCTCAGGGCCCTTTTCAGGGCGCGCAGCTGCCCTGTGGGTGCCCCATTCTAGCAACTGTGTGACAGGGAAGGGTCCCTCCTGCTCCTTCTGCCACCCTAACCTCCTCTCCCCAGGCAAGTACTTCTATGAGCTGGACGAGACGAGTGTGCGGCCCGGCTACCCCAAGCTCATCAGTGACGTGTGGGGCATAGAGGGCCCCATCGACGCAGCCTTCACGCGCATCAACTGCCAGGGCAAGACTTACCTCTTCAAGGTGGGCAGAGGGGCAGCAGGCTCTTGCTCGTGGCTGTAGCAGGAGGACAGTCCCACAGCAAAGAGGGACGGTCACAACTGTGGGCTCTGAGGCAGTGCTGCTGACCAGCAGGCCAGCACGGTGCCCCAAGCAGCCACAGCCTCAACACGGGGTGCCCGGAGCCTGGGGGAGCCTGCTCCTGCGCAGCCTCCTGAGCCTGGCTCTGTGCCGCACCCCAGGGCAGCCAGTACTGGCGCTTTGACGATGGCCTCCTGGATCCCGGCTACCCCCGCGACATCTCCGAGGGCTTTGAAGGCATCCCAGACAACGTGGACGCCGCCTTCGCCCTCCCCGCGCACAGCTACCACGGCAGCGAGAGAGTCTATTTCTTCAAGGGTAAAGGGCCCAGCCTCTCTGCACCCCTCCCGGAGCCAGCGGCTGTGGGGCAGGACACGCGGGTGCCCCGCTGACAGCGCTGCAGGAACGTGTCTCCCCTCGTCTCTGCCCTGCTGACGCGCTGCCTGTCCCGCCGCTAGATAAGTACTACTGGTCCTACGACTTCGCCCAGCAGCCCACGCAGGCCGAGTGCGAGAAGTCTTCACCGTCCACCGTGTTTGGCCATTACGCCTTCCTGAACCGTGACAGCTGGGAGGACATCTTCCAAATCCTCTTCGGGAGCCGGATGGGTAAGAACAGGCCAGGGGAACAGGCTGTGTGCGCCCACTGGGCACCAGGAGTGCAGGCTTGTAGGGGAAGAGGGATGTGATGATGCCTGGGAGCACAGGAGGGTGGGATGAGCTGCCACGTTGGGCCATGTAGGAGTCCAGGCCACATGCAGGACCCCCCAGACCTGGCTGTGTCACCCACAGCATCCCCATGCACCAGCCCAAATCCCATGCGACGGATGTCACCTGTCGCATCCCACACTGTCCAGAGCCTGTCGCCAGCCACCTTGCACCACACCATTGCGGCAGGGGACTCTTTATTCCCACTGGAGCCAGAATTGCCATAGGAAAACCCCAAGACTGGGCAAAGGGAATGGAAGGTGGAGAGAAGGAGATGGGAGCTCAGCACTGACAGGGCTCTCCCCAGCCAAGGCGGGTGGCAAAGTCGGGGCTGCAGGCTCTGTCACACCTCTCCTCGGGGCTGGGGACCCTCTGGAGCAGCAGTGTCAGTCTCCAGAGCTGCCCAGCTCTGTCTGGGGCCGGTGTCAGCCCAGCTCGGGGGGATGCTGGAGCCTGAGCACTACGAGCCCATAACGCCCAGCGCCTGCCTCTTTGCCAGTCGGGGCGAGCGGCCCGCGCTTCATCAGCAGAGACTGGCGGGGGGTGCCCAGCCGGCTGGACGCCGCCATGGCCGGCAGGATCTACGTGGCCTCCCAGCAGCCCCGCAGGAGGAAATCTCGCCGCCAGCGGAAGCGGTACAAGAACCAGCGCTCGCTGAACTTGGGTTTCTGGGGCTGGCTGCAGAATGACTCCGAATCGGCGGGCATCGAAACCGACTGGCCCTCGGGCTTCCAGTGTGAGACCCTGCAGAGCGTCTACTTCTTTGTAGGAGGTGAGTGCAGGGCAGCGGGGAGAGCTGCGGGATGGGGGTCATTGCCACCCGGAGCTGCCTGGGCACCGGGAGCCGCCGTCGCTGCGCAGGCTCCGTGAGCCCGGGCGGCTCCAGGATCCCGCGGGAGGATGGCTGTCCCGTGGCCCGGCCCCACCGTGGCACTGATGGCCACCCCGCTCTCCCGCAGACAAATACTACCGCGTCAACCTGCGCACCAAGCGTGTGGACCTGGTGCGGCCCCGCTACCCGCGCTCCATCGCCCAGTACTGGCTGGACTGCCCGCAGCCTGGGGAGGAGAGCACCTGAGCTGGGCCCGGCCGCAGCGCCCGTCAGCAGCACCCTTAGCTAGAGCCCAATAAACCCTGAGTGTGGTGCAGGCCGGGCAGCTGCGTCTGTCCGTCTGTCCGTGTGTCCCTAGGCAGCTGGTGTTTGCGCAGCCCTTGCAATCAGACGTCCCACTGTCCCCACAGCCCCGGCCGTCCCTCCAGTACAACCGTGCACAGGCGGTGCCGGAGCCCATGGCTGGGGCTGACGCTCCGGTTGGGCTGGGGCTGCTCAGATCTGCTCCGCCAGCCAGGCCGGGGCCTCTTCCCACTGCAGGACAGGGAGTGCTCCGGCGGCTGCCGGCCGGGAGCAGGCAGGGTTAGTGCCCCAGGGAGGAGTCCCTTGGAGTAAAGTGCAACCCGCCCGTGCACCAGTGCCAGGCTGGTGCAAGGGGGCTGCTGTCTGGCTCTGGGGCACTGCCCATGCCAGGGGAAGGCCAGGGGCTGTATCCCGGCTTCGCCGCCGCCCCGCTCACCGCTCGGCTCCGGCAGCCCCGGCCACGGCGGGGCCGAAGGGATCACTTTCCCCTCAGGGCTGCTCCTGCGCTCCGGAACCCCCTGGTCGCAGTTTTCCCTCGGGAGCGGGTGCCGCTGGGCTGAGCTCCTGGTGCTGCCCTGGCTCCTGCTGTGAGCACAACGAGGCCCCGCACCCTGAGCCCCGTCCTGGCTGCGCCAGTGCCCGCGGGCCTTGCAGAGCCCCCAGGTCGTGCCGCAGGGGTGAGCCCGGGCCGCGGCTCTCACCGCTTTGCCCGGCGGGACCGGGGGTGCCTGGGCAGCTGATGGGAGTCGGGCAGAGCCGCAGCCTCCTGGCCGGGTGGTGGGAGGCTGGCGCTTCCTGGGACAGCGCCTGGCCACACCTGCGGACAAGCAGAGCCGTGAGCCCGCCGAGCCGCGCCGCACGCTCCGGAGGGAGCCCTGGGGCCCTACCTGGGGCACAGTGGCACTGGCCACGTCAGGGCCGTACGGGGGGCACCCTGGGCAGTGGGGGCAGCCGGAGGCGAGAGGTGGTTTCTGAAAGAGGGAGTGCGCAGCAAGTTTGCGCAGCCCTGGCCCCACACAGGCGCTGCCGCGGCGGTGCCCACCACCAGCCTGGCTCCCCCTCGCCCTGGCTCACCGGCTGCAGGGCCTGGGGGGCGCCGGGGCCGCGGGCGCTCCAGGAGCTCTGCGTGGGCCTGGGAGCTGCGCCGTCCCTGAGGGGCTCGAGGAGCTCCGGGGCTGCCCAGGGCTGCCAGGGGAGCAGTGAGGGTGCAGGGCAGGGCGCAGGGTATGGCACAGGGCAGGGGGCAGGGCAGGGCACAGGGCAGGGTGCGGGCAGCCGCCGGCAGAGCTCCGAGCCATGCCCGGGCCCCGGCATCAGCGTGCCCGGCTTCCCCGGGGCACCGCCACTCGGCCACACGGCAGCCCACGGCGCGGGGCCAGGCGCGTCCGGGCGCTCCCTGCCCGCGCCGCCGAAGCCTCCCTGGCACGGGCACCCCCAGCCCTGCGAGACGCTGTCCGGCAGGGGGTCCTGCGTGGCCGGGGCGCTCCAGCCGCCCCCCTGGGCTCCGAGCTCGCGGCTCCCACGGGTGCCAGGCAGTGCTGGGCAGCCGCCGAGTGCCAGCTGCTCGTTCTCCACCACCAAGTCCCGCAGGAGGCTGTAGACGCTGGGCCAGGCCGGGGCTCTCCGCAGGACCCCGTCCGTGCCGCCCTCGCCCACCGCTGCAGGCTGCTGCCTGCCACGCGGCGCTGCCCTCGTGGACGGCCCCGGGGCGCCCTCCGTGCTCCCCACGGGCGGCCGGGGCACGCGCAGCTGCTGCCGCAGGGAGAGGTTTTCCAGCCGCAGCGCCTGGATTTCCTCCTCCAAGGTTTGCAGCAGCCGCTCCCGGGGCACCTGGGAGCACGAGGGGCAGCTCAGGGGGGATCCTCCTGCCCCTGCCGCCCGCCAGGGTGGGCACCCGCCGCCTACTGTGTTCAGCACGGGCCTGGTGGTGACGCTGCGGGCCCGGCTGGCGTAGCGCAGCGTGCTCAGCGTCTCCGAGAGGCAGCGCGAGGACGGCGAGACGCAGGCCACCTGCGCCAAGGGAGAGCGGCACCTGAGCTGTCTGCGAGGGACCGCGCCGAGCGCCGCCCGCCTCTGCCCACCCCTACCATGAGCGTGACGCCAGAGCCGCCCAGGGCGCGGGCCAGCAGCCGCGTGAGCTTGCTGTCGCGGTAGGGGATGTGCGGCCGCTTGCCGCGCGGCTTGGCCAGCAGCGAGATGCAGTGTCCTGCGGGAGACGGAGCGCCGTGGCACCCCCGGCGCCGGCGCCGCGCTGCCCCATGCGCTGCCCGCGCCTCACCCAGCGCCAGCAGGCTGCGGTTGATGTTGTTGGCCTCCACGCAGAGCTCGCCCGTGGAGCCCGTGTCCTTGACGCGCTCGCTGCCGGCCAGGTCCACGAAGCAGAGCGTGCCCTGCTTGCTGCCGCCGGCGCCGTGCTGGGGACCCGCGGGGCTGCCGGTGACACCCCGGCCCTGCCTGGCCACCCTCCCCGCTCGCCTGCTGCGGCCATGGCACCCTGAGCCCCCAGGCACCATCCCAGCCACCCCCCGGGTTTGGGCGCTACCCCTAGGTCTTGGCCCTTCCCACCGCATCCCTGAAGCCGGGACCCCCCAGCATGGGGCTGGGCCCCCCCCCCAGGGCGAGCCCGGAGCAGGACGTGCGCTCACGGCCCGGCTGCGGACGTGCACGGTCAGCAGAGCGTGGCTGCGGCTCGAGTGCTTGTTGAGGGCGTGCGCGGAGCTGCGGCGCCTGCGGGAGCCTGCGCGGGGGCACGGCGAGATGCAGGGGGGCATGATGGCCCCGGCCACCCACCCCAGCCCCCTGCTGCTCACTGGGAGGCCCTGGGCCCGTGTGGGACCTGGGGCACCCGCAGCAGGACAGTGCTCCCCACGGCACAGCACCTTCCAGGAGCAGCGCGGTGATGGCCTCCAGGCTCTCGAACTCCACACTGAGCTGGTTCTCCACGTAGAAGCCCCGGGATTTGCTCCACCGCAGGGGTAAGGCACACGGCGGCCCCGGGCTCAGCAGGTCCCTGACCTGGGGACACACGAGGCTGGCAGCGGGGACAGGGGCTGGCAGCGCGGCAGGGCGCTGGGCGGGCAGCGCTTACCTGCTCGTTGTAGATCTCCACGTAGGAGGCACTGAGGGCCAGGCCAGCGCCCCAGCTCTGCTCCAGCAGACACGCGAAGGACCTTTGCATCAGCCCCAGCGCGCACGGGGCCGCCGGCCGGGCCTCGCTCTGCGGGGACACGGAGCAGCACCCTGCGGTCCCCGCGGCGCCGGCTCCCAGCACCCCGGGGCGCGGCCAGAAGAGCCGGTCCCGGCCGGGAGCGGGTGAGGGACGGGGCCGGCCCCCACCTGCGCCAGCGGCCCCATGAGCGTGTAGGTCTTCCCCGAGCCCGTCTGTCCGAAGGCGAAGACGGTGCAGGCGAAGCTGGGCACGGGCGCGGGGCGTCGGGCACGGTGCGGGGCTGCCCCCTCCCGGCACGGCCCGGGCAATGCGGACACCCGGCCGGGCCGGGGCTGCGGGCAGGGACCCCGCGGGACACGGGGGGCTGGCGGGGACTCACCCGCCTACGGCCAACTCCACGAGCTCCCTCATGCCGCTGCCCTCGAACACGGCTTCCTGCGAGGTGCCCGCGTCGAACACGGCGCTGAAGCCGAAGGTGGCGTCGTGGCGGGCGGCGCTCACCTGCGGCGGGCGCGGGACGGGCTCAGGGGGCTCCGGGGGCTCCGGGGGCTCCGCGGCGCCGGTGGCACCGTGCGGGGACACTCACATGCACGGCGCTGTCCCCCAGGCTGCGCACGGCGCGCCGGTCCCCGCGGCGCGACTCCGCGCAGGTCAGCGGCCGGACCCTGGCGGCAGGGGACAGAGGTGTCGCTCATGGGCACACACCGGCGGGTCCCGTCCTCCTTTCCCCCCTTCCCCGGCGCCTCCCTGCACCGACGTGTCCCCCGTGTGGGACGAGGCCCCTGCTCCATCTCATCCCTACCGCCCCTCCGAGCCCCGGCCCTCCTTACCTGACCACCACTCTCAGATTCGCATCTGTGGCCGCCGCGGCGCCTTCCTGCTCCCCGGGGCTCCTTGCGGACAGCCAAGAGCAGAGCAGGAGGGGAGCAGGTGTCTCTCCTGTCCCCAGGGTTTGCCCCGTGCTCCCTGCGCTCTCCCCCCTTTCCAGAAATCCCAGTCCCGGAGCACACGGTCCAGGCAGGTTCCCGGTACCTCCCCGCTCGGCCAGGGTGGCTGGCCGGACACTCGCTGCTCCGGGCCTAGCTCTGCTCCGGCTGCGGTGCCGTCCCCCCCGCCACATCCCCAGGCCTCCCGCCGCGTCCCCATTCTCTTACAGCTTCCGCAGGGCCCGGGGTAGCGTTTTGGTCCTGGCACCCAGCAGGGGCTCCCGGCCCCGCTCCTCCTCCGGCTCCATTGCCCCCCCACTGCCCCTTGGTCGCACTTCGAGGGCACTGGTGGCAGCCGGACGGCCCCAGCAGGAACCACCAGCAGCCGCCCGGGGCTGCCCAGCAGAACAGGTACCACCGCTCCAGTTAAACATTGACCCGCGCCAGCCCCGCGGGAGCGCGGCCAGGGGAGGGCAAGGCAGGGGGACCGGCGGCCACCACCGCTGCCTGCGTCACCTCGTCCCTGCTCAGGAGGGACAGACGCCTCGGGGCTTGCAGGGCTCCCTGCCCCACTGGTGCCAGGCTGTGCCCAGAGCCTCCCGCACTGCCCCCTGTCCGCACGGGGCCAGTGATGGGACCTGAGGACAGCTAAGGGGGTGAAGTGGCCCGGGGCTGTTGGGGAGTGGGGCAAGGGACTGCTCCGGGAACCAGCGGAGCCCCCAGTACTGGGAGCTGCTGGGGTTACTGGTGCCTGGAGGCCCCGGGCGGGGAGCGCCGACTCTGGGAGGGGGGTCGGATCCCGCCGCGGGTGCGGGGGTCCGGGCAGCGCCGCCCGCTCGGGGCGGTCCCAGCCCGTCGGGGGGAGGCGCTGGGGGGGGATAAAAGCGGCCCGGGCGGCGGGGCCGGGGAGCCGGGCAGGATGAGCGCGGCCCCGGGCGCCCCCCGGCCGCTGCTCCGCTTCCCCGACGGGGCGGGCKGCCCGGGCGGCTGCGGGCGGGAGGCGGCGAGCGGCGGCCCGGGGCCCGGCCCCTGCCCCTGCCCCTGCGCGGGGGGCCCGCGGAAGCGGCGTCGAACCACGTTCAGCCGGGGGCAGCTCTCGGAGCTGGAACGGGCCTTCGCCGCCGTGCCCTACCCGGACATCGCCACCCGCGAGCGCCTGGCCGAGCTCACGCAGCTGCCCGAGGCCAAGATCCAGGTGAGCGGGGCCGGGGCAGCGTCCCCGCCCCCGGGCCGGGCCGCCGGGACCTCCCCCCGCCGTGGCCCGGGCCGCCCCCTCGGGCCGGGACCGGCGTCTCACGGCCGCTTCCCCCCGGGCCAGGTCTGGTTCCAGAACCGCCGCGCCCGCCGCATCCGCAGCGCCAAAGCGGAGCCGCCGCCGCCCCCGGAGCGCGACCCCCCCGCGCCGCCCCCCGACGCCGCCGCCGCGGCCCCGGTGCCGGCGCCGCCCGAGGCGGGGGCGCAGGGAGCCCCCCGGGGCCTCCCCACCTCGCTGGGCTCCATCTCCGACCTCATCTACAGCGCGGCCATCACCAACCTGGGCGAGCCGTAGCCCCCGGGGCCTTCATTAGCGCCGGGAATTCCCACCCGCTCCTTCAGGTCCTGCCGTGTCATCCAATCTCCTAAATGCCGGTGAGGCCGCGGCGCGGCCGGCCCCCCATCAGCCCCCCTTGCCCCCTAATTCCGACTAATCTTCCAGAAAAATACCTTAATCTGAGGCCGTATCCGCGGATGATTGTGGTGCAGCCGCCCCTAATCCGCGGGCACGTTCGCAGGTGCCGCCCGATCTGCCCCTATCGGATATTAAAGCGCGTTCGCAGAGGGGCTTAGCTGCCATCAGAGCATTAATCACCGTGTCCGGCCCTGGCACGCTGCCCGCTCGGCAGGTGTCCTGGTCCCCAGTGTCACACAGCGCTGGCTGCAGGGTCCCCTCCCTGCTGCAGGGCCACTGCTGCACCGAGCTGCCTCCGCTCTCTGCCCTGACCACTGGGGGCCCCAGGGCCCTGCACGGGGCTGCTTTTCCTCCTGGGTTTAAGTGGCTGTTGGGGGCGACCTTGGGATGGAGCCGCAGCTCGTGTCACAGCTGGGCCCCTTCCTGCCGCCGGGGTGACCTGCCCCATCTCTGGTGCTCCGGAGCTTCCCGGAGAGCAGGAGCGGCAGCCCCCAGCGCAACGTCTCCCCGCGACAGGAGCTGCACGGCGGGCAGGGCCGGTGCGGAGCCGCAGCCGAAGCGCCACCGCGGCGGCGGGACCGCTGCCCTGGGTGCTGCCGCCCTCCCGTAGAGCTCTGTGCGGACGTGAAGTGCCCGTGTCACCGCACACAGGGCGCGCAGGTCACCCCCCTGCTGCTCACGGGCGAGTGATGCCCTCCCTAAGGCAAGGGAGCTGGAAGAACAGAGCCAAGGCACTGATTTCCACCAGAGATGGAGCAGGATGAAGAGGGAAGATTTGCGGCCCCCTGGAGTGTCTTTTAGATGCCAGGCAGGGTGCTGTGTGCACCAAGGAGGCTGCAAACACAGACACAACCTATTTATTTCCAGAAATCCCCAGCAGCTTCCCAAAAGAAACGTAACAGCAGCTGATGCCTCTCTCTGTGCTGGCAGAGCACGAGTCCGCTGCCATGGGCTCCTCCGCTCCGCAGCTGCGAGGTCTTTAATCCATGATTTATTTGGGAATGTAAGGAGTGCACAAGGATGACGCCCGAGGGATGCAGCAGTTTTCCAGGGACAACCAGCCGCTTGTGCCAGGACGACCCTGCCCGAGGCGAAGGCTCCTGGGCAGAGGCCGTTGGCGCGGGTGGACGTGGTCACAGCTTCCCCAGGTCCCCCTCGAGGGTCCGCACCATGACGTAGAGCTCGGCCAGGCCAACCACGGAGGCCACGATGACGGCGGACAAGATGCGCTGGGGACACAGACAGAGGTGAGGAGCCCGCGGGCGGGCACGCGCGCAGAGCCCGCGGCCGCTCGCTCACCGCAGCCGTCTCCGCAAAGATGTACTGGCTGCCCAGGTAGGCGCAGGCGAACGCCGCCGCCACGGTGACGAAGAAGTTGAGCACGGCGATGACCACGGCCTTAACGGAGCGGACTGCGCACGGCGGGAAGACGGCGGTTGGGTTTTGCAGGCGGCATTTCCCCCGGGCGCTGCTTCTGCCCGTGGCTGGGACAGGCCGTACTCACCTTGTCTCCCGAACTCGCCCAGTGTCCCGTAGCGGTTCAGCTCCTGAAAGAAAGCGTGCAAACGGCTGGCGGCGTGTCGTGCTTGGTGACAGCGGCAGCGCTCGCGCCGAGGGCTCAGCCCTGGCGCCAAGGGCTCGTTCTCAAGGGCATGGAAGCCTGGGTGGACCCCAGCAGCAGAGAGACCCGGGGCCTGTTCTGGAGGGTCCACATGGGTGGGCTGGTTCTGGAGGGTCCACATGGGGGGTGGTTCTGCAGGGTCGCCACGGCGGCAGGTCTGCAGGGTCCTGGTTCCCCGGGGTTGCGCACGGGGGACCCTGCTAAGTGACGTCCCATCCCAGCTCCCATCCCCGCTCCGTTACATCCACCCCATGCAGAGAGCCCCCTTTGCTCCCCGCCATGCCCCGGTCCCAAGGAGCCCGCCGGAGCCTCCTACGGAGGGATCCCCACCGAGGGCAGGGGACCCCAGTCCGCCTGGGCCGGCCGGGGCGCTCACCGCGGCGCTCACGTTGCGGGTCATGCGCCGGTACTCCTCGCTCGCCAGCTGCGCCCTGATGCGCTCCAGCCGCGCGGCCAGCTCGGGGTTCTGCGGGGCGCGCGGCGCTGAGCGGCGGCTCCGG